TTACCTGAACTCAATTAGCAACTTTCACCTATTTTACACATCGGCTGTAGTATCATGATTAGGCGTGTTATTCAAATTCCGTCTTATGTAAAGCAATCGAAGAACAATGGAACTCGAACACAAAGCAATTGTGTTGTGCATCACAAACGCCACAAAACGCCTTAAGATTTAAAGGCGGATTAAGAGACTTTTTGAATGCATATTCAGCGCCCTGCTGGAGGTGAAATAAGCATCCATCATTAACAAATACATTACCTTCCATACAAAATCTGTTAAATTAAATCAAATTCAGTTTGTCTATTGAACTAAATTGCTAATTGCTAAACAGGTTCAGTTCAAATATGCAAGTTGTACAGAGTTAAATTCTGTCCAAATTCTGTCAGTCACCTACTACAGTAACTTTTAGATCCAATTATATACATTGAAAATTAAAATCTAATACAGTATAAAATACAGTCAAAGTCAGTAGACTCTGAATCCCTTACTCATTAAACTTAAATGGTTAGCCCAGAGTAATTCAGTTGTTTTTTTAGGTAGTTTTTCCCTTACTCTGGTGTAGCAAATTCATTTTGTCAAGTAAAGTAAAAATGTGCCGTTTCTGATGAGCTGAAAGAAATTCAGTCACATCATTTTCTATAGTTCCTCTCTGTGAGGCGCTATACATTTCCACATGACTGCATTTGTTTATTTAAAGGTTGTTGGCGCAGAGATGCGAAGAAACCTGAACATCTTCCAGGGATTTGACAGCGGTACGGTGAAGTTGAGACATGTACGCGATGTCCCCAACAACAAAATAATAATAAAAAAAAACAGTAGGGAAAAACAAAACAAAACAAAAAAAAAACAATAACGGGAAAAAAAAAGTCTCGGGTTCAGTTCAAAGGCCGAGGAGCAACTCTGTCCCACTCACTACGAAGCACATAAGTCCTGCATTAAGCGCCGGATAAAACCTCAGATGTAAATAAACAGACTTGCATCTGAAGCTCTGGCTTTTTTTATTTTTTTATTAACGCACTGAATTACCTTACTTTAGAACCTGGAGATTCGGAGATGAGGTCTGCATAAGATGCATTGCGTCCCTCTAATCAGTCATTTATCAACGCGAAGCAAATTATCAGGTAAGTTTATTATTAAGATCGCCTCCTCCGTTGCGTGACAAAAGGCTGGAGACTTGCTTGTGTGACTTTATCCTCTTAGAGCGCGCTCTCCCCGCTTAGCCAGCAAATACTCTGCGGCTGAGGAGACACCGGGAAGGTAAAGGGATGGGGCTGTCCAATCAATCCCATATTAAACTTGAGCGGAAGGCGCGTGCTGGAGTGCACCTCAGTTCTATTTTTTTCCCTCAGTGCAGAGCACAAAGCCCTCCCTCCCTCCTCCACCCCCCTTCCCTGCAGCTCCTCTGCCACAAACAGAAGAGAGGGAGTGAGACAGATTACAGGCAACTGCGCGCCGCCAGTCCGCGCACAGCAGCCAAGCAGTCCAAAGCGACTGAATGAGGGCTTACTCGAGCTGCTGTAGTTGGATATTGTCTATGTCTAACAATGCTTTCTGATCCATTGAGAATCTTGAAAAAAAGGAGCCTTTTATGTATTTCTTCATTCTGGAATGAACCGTCTGCTCTCTTTCTCGGTGTAACAATGTGCAACACTTACACGGTTTGACCTAAATCCATATTTATCTGCTGTAAAATACAGAGGAGTTAAATAAAAATGGGAATATGTTAAGTTTTTAGCCATCACATTAAAACGTTTCTGGCGCATCCCTCTATTCTGACCCCCGTCTGCCGGTTAAGCACCTCTCCCAAAGTGCAAGCGTAAAAAAGTGCGGCTTCCATGTGCCCCCTTCTCTGGGAGAGAAACCGGGTCTCTGTTATTTCACGTCACGTTGTCTGAGAGGAGGAACTTGAAATGTGCGACTAGACGAAACGAGAAGGGAGGGAGGCGGGCAAGGCAAAAAAAAAAAAGGAAAAAAAAGGAGGGGATGCGGGTGAGGGGATGGGGGGGAAGGAAAAGAGGGGGGGGGAAGAGGAGGAAGAGGCGAAAAGAAATGAAATCAAACGGAGAGCGAGGGGGTAGAGCGCTTGCGCAAAAAAGAATCAAAAACAGAATTTGAGTCACAGCATATAAATCTGTTCACGGTTAAAGGATTTTAATGCTCTACTGAAAAGTACATTAATGTAAAGCAGCAACAAAGCTCCACAGATTTAGTAAGGCAGAACACTGACTAAATAATTATTTTATACTGATAGAAATTTCTGCGTTGTGCATCAACTTTTATTTTAAGGCGCTTCAAATTTCAAGTTACCCTGTTGTAATCCTTATTACTTCGCCCACTGACGCTTGTTTGTCGTGTTGTGGTGCCTCATTAATCGGTTGTGGCAGAGCCACTTTTGGCAACGTTCCCCACTCCACTGCCATGGTCACGCAGGGTCCTCAACTTCCCTTCCTCGGGTCTGCAAGTCAAGATTATTTCGCAGAAGTATTATCAGGGGCGCCACCAAGGGGGGCTGGTGGGTGCCATGTGTATGTAGGAGCTTGAAAACCTAACAGTTTGTTAGCTGTTTAAATAAACAGATTTATTTTCAGTCAGACCTACATTTTAAATTCCACCACCTCATCATACTGATATAGCTTTTGGTTTTGTTCTCCTACCTCAAGGTTATGACTGGCCCCCACTTAGCCACCCCTTAAAATACTTCCTGATAGTGTTATTTGTCTTATAAGGGAAAAAAAAACAATATAGACAAGAACAATTCTTTTATTTGTTTTTATTCCTACAAATTAGCAGTTCTATGTGCACATTTCCGTTCATTTTTTAAAAAGAGAAATATGTCTTATTTAGCTTCAATTTATTTATTAATTTATTTTTGAAATCATGGATGCTAAATTAGGTGGTGGTGCTAGAGATAGCATGGTCTAACATATCAGCTCTATATGGTACATATGTTGTCCATAGACAGTTAGGATGACTTTTTATTATATATTTTTAGTTAACTTAAAATTTATGTTTCACCAAAGAAATCTAGATTAAAAAAAATAAATAAATAAAAAATATATATATATATATATAATGGTGTGCCATTCCTTCATTATTATTTTCTCCTATCCGGCCACTCATTCAAAACTGTTAGGATGAATCTGATCATTTTACTACTTTTTAAGCATCATTAAGAGAAAACACAAACGCACATTTTGTTGTGACAATTTTGTTCTGCGATTCTCCAACGCTTCCACTCGGGCAATGGCCACCTTGATGAATTTTCTAAGCACTCCCTGGACGGACTGCTTTACATGCATCCCTTTTTTGTGTGTGTGTGTGTGTGTGTGTGTGTGTGTGTGTGTGTGTGTGCATTTAAGAAATGGACGATATCTGATGAATTGTAACATGTTAATTTTAATATGTTTCACTTTTTTTGTCTTAAAACGCTGTTTTGAATGTGTGTCGGTCACTCCTGACTCCATAGTCAAGTGATATCTGGATCGCAAATGTAGGCAAAATAAAGAGAGAGCTACAGCATTTTAAAATCATACGTGCCGAAATAGTTTATTGTAAAATTCTGCTCTGGCTTTTTTTTTTTTTTTTGCTTTGGTGTGCCACCCCTAGATTATTATTAGTGGTACCCCATCTGGCCATCCCTCAGAAAACTTCCTGACGGCGCCCGAGATTACCGTTATTATTCTCTAAGGATCAGTTGGAAAGTAAGACAAATATATTAATAAAAAAAAAATAAAAAAAAAACACTGAAGAAACTTTTCTCGTGATAAATGTTTTGTACAGTTTACTGCTAATCTCCAAAGCTGCCGGTCTCTAACTTGCTTTCCAAATATTCCCACACATAATGCGCGCGCACGCTCTCTCTCTCTCTGTCTCTCTCTCTCTCTGTCTCTCTCTCTTCTTCGCGCGCTCTCTCTCTCTGTCTCTTGCCCTCGCACACACACGCACAAACACAGACACACACAATCAAGATGCTAAGATGGCGCCTAATCAGTGTCAAGTTCAAGTGACTCCCACAAGTCTAATGCAAAAAGCATTTCACACAGTGTCTGCTGTACAGAATGCAGCGTGCAGAAACAACGTGGTGCTAATAATAATAATAATAATAATAATAATAATAATAATAATAATCAAGGTGGCAGTCCGAGAGTCGCTTTTTTTCATAATGTTTGTTTTTAATTTCAATCAAAATTTCCGTTCACATTTGTTCATAAATAGTTGGCAGAACAAACCAACCAACATACAGTAGCCTAAAAAGTACAAGGAAACGTCTGACTCTAGGTAGGCTCTAAGCGCATATAGGCCTGCTTGTTGTAACATAGTTTGCCTCGATGTGGCACAGTGACACAGTTCATCAGTGATACAGTTTTGCTCTTCAAGAATAACTCGGAGTGTGACCCATTTTTTCCCCTCCCAGAAAGTGTTACAACATCACATTCTAGCTGTGTTTTTATACATCAGATATTTTCCTCTGACCTCTGGACATGGGGGCAGGAAGGTGGCGGGAATAAGAAAATGTACTTCTTTTTTAAATTAAGGTATAGAAAATAGCATATAAAACATATACTCCTTAAATTATTTAAATAAAGTTATTTCATATATCACTGTCAAGAGGTACCGTTTCACTTTTTTTACATTTTATTTTTTTAAAAGTAGTGCTGGTGGTCTGAAAATTGTTCTCGCAAGAGTACAATATACTTTGTGTATGCATAATATTTAATTCTTGAGAATAGGTTACAATGCAATGCTGTAACTCTTTTTGTCGCCACTGAACGTGTTCTCCCTCCAATTTCCCTTCCACTAATTTTTTTTTGTTAAACACAACAAAAAGAAAAAAAGTCATCTTGACAAGTTATTCACACAAAAAACAAGCAAAAATGTGTAATCAAAACTGCTCTATATGCAACACCACAACAAATAACACGATTTAGTTTCACAGAAGAGTTACATTTAAAACAATGCAAGCTGACAGACAAAAAAAACATAACTTATTTTATTTTTGAAGATACTGTATCGTGACAGTTCAATTGTTGCCGATGCAGACATTTAAACAAAGGCTACTTCGCACAAAGACATTTGCTGGAACTATAAAGGTCGCCATACAGGCGTATTTTTTCGGGTGCTTGACCCCCTCAAATTGAAATGAATACTGAAAAATACTCGATTTGGATAATCATGAACTGCGCACAACTCGTCTAAGACCTGTATATATAGGAGTGCAATAGGCTGATGGGTTCATTCTTTTTTTTTTTAAATCTTATTTTCTCCTCTAAGATTTGACATCTATTTCTGATCCTATAAAAGAAAAATCCACAAAAAAGTTTAAACTGAACCAAATATATAAAACAGAACCGCTTTGTAGCTTTTCAGCTCAACTGAACTCAGTTCTAGACAGTCAATGATTTTTTTTTATACATGTCAATGGTCTCATAAGGAAAATAAAAGTGACTGAAATATCTGCAATATATATAGACAAATCCATAATATTCATATAGATGATTTTTTTTCTATTCGGTCCAAATAAGACACATGTAGGCCTATTGGTTAAGAAGAGGAAAACAGAAGGATACAATCGCGATGTTGGAGCTTAAAGAAGAGTTTATCATTTGTTCAATGTTAAGCTGGTTATGACCAAAAACTGTACAGATCTTGTTAGAAAAACATTTCCATAAATATCATTTAAGTTTCAGAACTTATACCCATAATTAAATTACAAATCGATAAATATGGCATCATGGATATGTATTTACAACGGTATAAACAAAAGGCAACGTTATATTCAACGGTAACAATCGTAAACCTAATACCACATGTCTCCACCTGAAAACGGACGTTGACAACAGATGCGACCCCATCAAACAAGGAAAAAAATACATTCACGAGTATAATATTTATTTAGGATTTTCAGGTTTTTTTTTTTAAATCTGCGTTCAAGTTCATGACAAAGACTTTGGCACGTTTCTTAAGACTGTTTTTGAAGTTTCAACAATCAATCGAAGGAGGCGACGTCACCGTCATATAAAACAGCGTGAAATAATCTTTCATTTTTTAATTACTTTTTTTTTTACTTAAATAAAAATTTGAGAAAATACATAAAATGAAAAAAATAAAACAAGCTTTCTGAAATCTGTAAACTAAAAGATTAAAAATAAAAACAACAAAAAAATTATAATCACAAAGTTTATTTAGTCGTGGATGATTTGTTTTAAAACTGCGGAATAAAGTCATTTTTTTCCGTGATCCTGAGAACGGACGTGGCCTGCTTGGTGCTGGCTTTTGCTCTCATCTCCATGTTGTTGTTGTTGTTCCAGTCCCATTTGTTTGTATGTGAAAGTGTGAGTGTGTGTGTGTGTGTGCGTGCGTGCGCAAGAGTGTGTATGAGAGAGAAAATTGTTTTATTTTAAGTCACTCCTCGTTCATCCTCATGGTCCAAACTGCAGGGAGAGGCTCCACTCTTCACGACTTCAAACATACCACTCGTTAAAGTTGGGCGGCAGTCCTTCGCTGTGACCAGGCGTGTTTTGCACGGCTGACGGCGGTGTTTTTGTCGGGTCCTCGGTGCTGGCTGAGACCAGCACCGGTGGAGTGGCCGATTCATATCCGGAGCTCGCTGCCGGGGAAGATTCCGAACCTTGAGACTCATGTACCTGATGAAAAAAAAAAAAATAAACTCAAGGAAAGATAGTGAAATTGTTGTGGAATTGCATCTCCTCCCCGTATGTCCAGCCCCCCCTCCCCACATACACAGATACGTACAAATAAATGCGACTGGAACAACTAATAATATCCACGTTCAAAGCTGGACTATTTTTGAAATATTGAAGTAAACATATTCATTTAAACTTGAAATGTAAATTAGAATAATGAGAAGATTTTCCTCTGTTGAGCACAACTTAGTTCTAAGTATTTACTCGTTGGCATCATATTTGTTTACACTCTTTTTTTCCCCAGCAATAAGATCTTAAGCAATGCCTCAAGTTGTGTCTGCAGCAGAGGAATGGGGGTGGTAGTGGTGGTGGTGGAGCGTGTGTGTGAGTACGTATGTGTGTGTTAATGTGTTTAAGGAGTAATGAAGACGTTAATTACCTTCATGTGTTTCCTGAGAGAGCTGGGGTGTGTGTAGGACTTGTCGCACACTTTGCAGATGTATGGCTTGTCTGACGTGTGCACATGCATGTGCTTTTTCCTGTCGCTGCTGTTGGCGAAGCGTCTGTCGCAGCCGTCAAATTCACACTTAAACGGCTTCTCACCTGCGGGATTAAACAAACCCACAGCACACCGTGAATCACGATTGCAACACACAAACAAAAAAAAACAAACAAAAAAAAAAAAATCTCAACCCCCCGATTGTAACACCCACCTGAAAAAAAAGAAGCAGAGACTGAGTAACGGTCTGCAGACTATTATATAACAGGGTAACCTACATTTATTCGGCGAGACATGGATACGAGCTCCACTACTACACTCTGCTGCTCTGTCAGGCTTTATTTATTCAAGAGGCCTGCTCCCCCCGTCATTCAACTCAACTGTAGTCAACAATGAATCAACAGGGCAGCGTGCAACGGCTGAGCAACAATTATAAACACAGTTAGAAATTGATTAGTTGTCTGCTGCCTTGGTAGTCTGACAAGCGAGCACAGAATCTCAATGAATCACACCAAACTTCCCGTCTCGAAACCATGCATGCTCGTTGAGCAGAGTTAGCAGCACAACAAAGTTGCTAAAAGAGTTGTTTATGGGGGGTTTTGAGCTTGCAGTCGATTTATGTAATTGTTATTATTTTCTTAAAACGCAGTAGCTGTTTGGAAGCGTGAGGCGTGGAGCAAAGTTTGCAAATGGTTTTGGTAAACAACAAAAGCATGCTGCTGCTATGTAACGGCTGAACACACACATTTACTACCCGGGAATGACCCCGTGATTCTTTTATGCGAAATAAAACTCTCTGATTCTTACCTGTGTGCGTTCTTTTGTGGATTTTCAGATTTTCCGAGCGGGCGAATATTTTCCCACATCCAGGGAACGGGCACGGGAACGGCTTCTCGCCCGTGTGCACGCGGATGTGGTTGACGAGTTTGTACTTGGCCTTAAAGGACTTGCCCTCCCTCGGGCAGTCCTCCCAGAAGCAGACGTGGTTGCTCTGCTCGGGGCCGCCGACGTGCTCCATGGACACATGCGTGACCATCTCGTGCATGGTACTGAACGTCCTGTCGCACGTCTTTTTGGGTCTATTCATCTGGTTCTCGTCTATCCATTTGCAGGACAGCTCTTGCTTGATCGGCTGCCGCATGTATCTGAAGAAGGCCCCCGGACCGTGGTGCGTCGGCACGTTCATGCCCATGTTCATGTTGATCGGGTGGTTGTAGTTGTGCAGCTGAGCACCGTACGGGTCCGTCCGGGGGCTCGCCACCGGCCGGTATGGGTCTGGTCTTCCGAAAATGTCCCCGCGTAAGCCGAGGTGCATCTGGCTGTTTACAACGTGTCCGCTCGGTGAAGTGTGGCTCACTCCCTGGTCGTGAAGTCCAGGGAACAACAAATGTCCGGGGTTGTCGGGGATCCCGGGCGGCCCGTGCAGACTCCCCGTCGAGGCTGCAAAGATCCCATGCTGGGCACTCGGAGCTGGGGACTCCCCGACGCCCCGGTTCCGGAAGAGAAAGTCCCGCGTCGAGTTGAACGCTCCCCCGCCATACGAGCCCACCTGCCCGCCGTGCGAGTGTCCCAAAGCGGCCGCGTATCCAGTCGCCTGCGGAGTGAAAGCTGATGTCTGGCTGGATGCGATGTCGTGCGCCACGGGGCTTATTTTGAAAGCCGCGGAGTGGGAGGAATCAGAGAAGGGATTCAGTCCCAGACCCGGGTCCCTGTTCCCGATGTCGTGGTGCCGTGGCGTCCCGAAGCCCCCCACTCCTAACGATGCGAACTGCGGACCGCTATCTAGAAGCATAGTCATGAAGCTCGAAGCAAACTCAGGAGTCGGGTGGGAAACAGAAAATCAAATTAAAATCCAGTTTGAGCGGAGCGCGGTGGGCTACAGACCACTGCGCTGAGATTTACCACGTTGAGCAAAAAAGATCCTAGAAATAAAAAAATAAAAAAGCCAAAAAATGAGGGGAAAAATCCTATGTAAAGGAGCTGGGAGGGAAAAAAAACTCCCGTTGACTGCGATCCGTGAGAAAGAGGATCAAACTTCCCCCCCTTACCAGGCTGATGATGTCCTTGGACTGATAAAGTCAATCACTCACTCCCAGAACATAAATGAACTCAGGAGGCAGTGCTACGGTGGCCAATCGGCGCTCAGCTACCCTTCAGACACGTGATCACCGAGAGTGGCGTTAATTGGCTGGATTTCATGTGATTGGCACTGTTTGGGATTGAAGATGGCAGGTCGTCTCACTGGTTGCGTGTGATTGGTTATTTCGGGCATTATTTTTGCAGGTATAACGGAACACTCCTGCGATCCCACATGTGTTAATGTGAGGCGCCTCACTCAATGTAATGCAGACATGCTATGGAAAGAGCCGTAGAAACTCATATACTTCCCCGGAATTAAAGAAAAAATATAATTACGGAACTTTTCCTAACTTTTACCGTCTATCTATCTATCTATCTATCTATCTATCTATCTATCTATCTATCTATCTATCTATCTATCTATCTATCTATCTATCTATCTATCTATCTATCTATCTTTCTATCTTTCTTTCTTTATTTATTTCATGAATTGGCGCATTTCCAGATTTTTATTTATTTTTAAGAAAAAAATATATCCGGCGAAACATAGATAACTAAACCAATAAATAAATAAATAAATTAATACGGAAATACATGCGTAAATAAATAGATAAATACTTTATCAGATATTTTAGTAATTGCAATCTAAATGTATTTGTCATTTAAATTTAAATGTAATTAATTAATTATTATTTTTTTTGGCTTAGCTAAAAACTAAAAGATGTCGTGCCACTGAACAAGTTTCACAGGGTTGCCGCTGACTGACTCGCTGCAGGACACAAAATCTGATCAAGTTCAGAGACGCGCTGAGTGAGCTTCAAGCGGCGCTTTTTAGAAACTCCGAGCCTTTTTCACATCCTTTTCTCTCTACCGCCCTCCACCCCCTCCTCCTTCATCTCCTCCATCTCTCCTCCTCAATCTGTCCCAGGAAGGAGCTCTCACATTCTTTACTTTACAGGGCTCTGGACTCCCCAAGAAAAAAAAAAAAAAAGAAAGAAAGAAAAAAAAAGAAAAAAAAAATCAAGTCAGTTCTTCATTCTACTGTCGCCCTCGTCCCACCGCATTCCCTCTGAGAACATTTCACCGAGAGAGAGAGAGAGAGAGAGAGAGTAATAGATTGGGGGTAAAAAAGGTGAGTTTGCTTCATGCTTATCTCTACTTTACAAGAGGCCTATCTGGTGCATTCTAGAGAAGTTTTAATTCTACATTTTCAGAGGGGTTTTGAGTGTTCCATGTTTAGGCCCGTTTCTCATATGTTAAGTCAGTTGTTGCAAGTAGCCGCGTACCTCCTTGGTTTCTTTTTCTTATTGCCATCTTGCATATCAGTTCAACACTTGCGCTTTTTAACACAAACTCAACAACTTCTCATGAAGCAAATCCACGAATGAAATTCACTTCATCGTTTTTCCTGTGTGTGTGTGTGTGTGTGTGTGGGTGTGTGTGTGTGCTTATAAGTGTGTGTCTCCCTCCTCGCTCCGTCTCACAGTTTACTCCCTCCCTGCACTCTCTCTCTCTCTCTCTCTCTCTCTCTCTCTCACACACACA